GAGATAATAACATGCACAAAAACAAGACAGAGCAAAACCAAGCAACAATATACAACAAAACAACACCAACAAGAAACCACTGACAAAGAACAAAACAAATCACAACAAGAAAGAAAAGCTTGTAGTTAGTTCAAGGATCGTTTGTTGGCCTTTAGGAGTGTTTTCCAGTCCAGTCTGTTGGGGTACCACGCCCCATATTTGAATTTTGTAATTGTCGTCTCTGGATCACACAAGCTGGTGTGCATCTTCCATGTGGACTTAGTTGACTTCTCGCCTAGATGGCTGCATTTGAATACAAGCCTTTTAGGCCCGACACTCTTCTTCTCGATAGCCAGGCACCGTCTGCTTTCTTCCCCACACTTTGCTGCAGCACCCTGATCTTCAGTGCTCATTACATGGGTGAGTACAGAGCAGGGCCACGTTATCAGAACCAACTGTTCTTGGACTGGGGTTAGAGTTAAGGGGGGGTCAAGTCAGAATGTTTTTGAGGAAGCCACGGGCAGGGCAAATGGTTACTGCACTTAACTACTAACCAAAAGGAGGGGAGGCTTGCATCCCCCCCCCCAGGGGCACCTCTGAAGACGAGGCTGGTGGTCTGCTTCTCCAAGGTCAGTCTTGAAAACCCGGCCGAGCTCATTCTCCTCCGACTTGCATGGGGTCACCGTGAGTCAGAATCGTCTCGACGGCAACGGGGTTGGTGCTGCTATTCCAGTTTGCAGACCCTTAAACCAGCCTCTACTTCGTATCGTTTCCCTGAGCAGCTGCAACTGATCGCTACAACCTTGTGGCTTTCAAGTACAGAAATGTATTCCCTCTCAGTTCTGGAAGCTAGACGTCCAAAATTCCGGTACTGGCAGAGCCACACACGCTCAGAAGGCTCCCCGGCAGTTTCTGGTGGCCCCAAGGGTTCCTTGGCTTGTGGCTGCAGAGCTGCAACCTGGCTCCATCTTCACCTGATCTGCTCTCCCCTCCTCTTCTGTCATTGGAGTCAGGGCCACCAGGTAGTCCAGGATGATCTCATCTTGAGATCACTAACTGAATTGCATCTGCCGCCACCCTTTTCCCGAATAAGGTCCCATTCAGATTCTGGGGGTTAGGATGTGAATCAGTCTTTCGGGGGGCGGGGGGGCACCGCTCAGCCCACGTGGTGTTGTTAGGTGCCACCGAGTTGGTTCCGACTCATAGCAACTGACTGTACAACCCACCACACTTTTTAAAAGGGGAGTTTTACTTCAACATACATCAACCAGAATGACCCTAGTCAATTTGGACCAGCCAGGGGAGCTGCCACATATAAACCTGACTCGATTGGTATTTTCCCAGCCCACATTTTTTTGGGCCTTCATCATAGAGAAGCCAGTAAAACCCTTTACACCTGTAACAAATGCCTGGATGTTAATGTAAGAACATGTGGACCCAATACCATTACACACACACACACACACACACACACACACACACACACACCTTTAAAAAGACCCACCTTTGTTTAAGTGGCAATTTTCCAAAACTTCCTTTTTTATATAGCCAACTTCCTTAAAGAATCTTATAACAGACTACAATCTTCTGAATGTCAGGCTTCCCTGCTGCAGCGCTTTGGTTTACTCCCCAATAAAATCCTTCTGAACATTTTTTTAGATAATGCAACTCCAGAATCTGTCACTTTAACACATATTAGCTTCAAAATACAATTCACTGAGAGAAAACACAGAAACCCAAACCCAACAGAACTCACTGCCGTCAAGGCCAACTCAGCGCCACGGTGCAGGTCATTGTGCAAAAGGAAACACAGAGGATGACTGAGAATGCCATAGAAAACACCACAGCAAAACAACAAATAAAGTACAAACACCAGATAATGAAAAATTCACTCAACACTCGAGTTTGTTGTATAAAAATGAAGCATAACAGAGCTGTTCCAGTATATTAATGTGATCGTTTATATTTTCCAAAAAATTCAAAATTTTATATATTTTTGAGAGACCACCTCCACCCTTGTTCTGATGGGGACTGTAGACCCGTCACTCTGCTTTCCGAGTTCAAGGCTCCATCTGACTCTGGTTCTTGACTAATATCATAGGCTGAGCGCTTCTCGGCCTTTTGGCTAAGATCAAGTGCAGTATCTTATCAGTTTAATATCATAGGCTAAGAGCCAAAGAAATGGTCCAACTTTTTCAGAACATTTCTCTCCAAAGACGAATGTTGAGGTTCCGAGGAGTCTTATTTATAACACATTACCTATGAGAGTGAGGCTCTCTCACCATGAAAAGAAAAAGATGAAATGCTTAACATTTTTGTCATCTTTATTGTATTTAATTGTATTGTATAACATCTTGACTTTTTAAAAATCATTTTATTGGGGTATCGTACAACTCACAATCCATTCATCCATCGTGAAACCTTCCGGATCACAGCCCAACTCACGACCACTGCGCCACTGGCGGCCTGAGTGTCTTGACATTTCTAGATGCGTCATTTGACCAAAATTACGCAAGTTTAACTTGTAGCCAGCAAGATGACCCTTCCCAGTGTTTCTGAAATCACAGAGCTCGGCTTCCTCTGGGGACTTGGAAGTCTACTTTGACTTGACCAGTTCTTTGTCCATGGTTCCTCAAAGATAACCCTGCCGACTACCACGCTTCCACTCAAACTCCCCACCTCCGAGTCCGTTCTGACTCACGGCAACCCTGTCGGACAGGAGACCAGTCCTGTGTGTCTCCCAGACAGGTACTCTTTAAGGGAGTAGAGAACCTTGGCTTTCTTCTGAGGCGCGATCGGTGGTTTTGAACTGCTGACCTTGTGGTTAGCAGCCCAACCCGTAACCGCTACGCCATCAGGGCTCCTCATGCTAACTCATTGTGACCCTAATTTTCAAGGCTTCATTCTTCACAGAAGCAGACGGCCACATTGTTCTTCCAGAGTGGCTGTTTAACCACTGTGCCACTAGTTCTTTAGAATAAAAACCCACAACTGAGTCACCAATCCTGCCTCATCGTGGCCTCTCTCTAGGGTTTCGGAAAGGGTCAGTCTTTATGGGCGCAGACCCTCTTCTTTCTCCTGAGGGGCACTGATGGGTTTGGATGGCAGACCTGTAGGCTCTAAGTCCTGAGCTTACCGGAGGGTGCCTCCAGGGCTCCCTACGATAACCCTAAACCCTTGGAATTGCCAGAGATGTCTTTGTTATCTGCAGCCCCCTGATCAAATCTGAGAGTTGACACTAATGAGGTGGTTTACGGTGGGGATGGCAGAGTTATCAGTTGGCCTCAGGGTAGGTGGGCTGATCCAAGCATGCCTATGCATTGAGGCCCCAATAAAAAGCTCCCTGCCGCTTCCTGTTTGGTGCTAGAGATGCCTGTGACAAGATGGGGTGTGGGGACAAGAACTTTCCTGGGCCTCTCCAGGTCTCTTCCTTTGCTATACTAAAACTATCATTTAAGGTTTCCTTGAATCTGTGACTCTTTCTAACACATTATCAAATCCAAAGGAGCAATTGGAAATAGTAGAAGTCAGAACTGGGCTGGCAGGGACAGGGGACCACTAAGCTGGCAGCTGGTATCAGGAAGGGGCAGGAGTGAGCGGGCAGGGGCTGGGGACAAGTGACCTTAGAGCTGGTATCATGAAGGGGCAGAGGGGACTCCAGAGCCTTGTGCCCGGCATCAGGAGCCTCAGGCACCGGGAGCTGGCCACGTGGAGGGCTGTCCTCCTAACTTAGGAGGTCACACCTGGCTCCAGCTGCCTGTGCATCCGGCCTCAAGGTGAAAAGTGGGACAATGACAAAAAGCAGGTGACAGATTGTAAATGTCCAGGAGGTAAGGTTTAGCAAGTGGTGTGCCGGTGTGGGTAGCATTGCAGCCAGCTGGGAGCTTGCTGAGACGCATTGTCACGGGATTTCGTCATGAAGGAGAGGGAGGGGGACGAGAGAGAGAGAGAGAGGACCCCACCCCTTGAGCTTTGGAACAAGCAGCCAGACATCCAGGTTGACTCCTAGTCTTTGCAGGCAATCCTGGGGGAGGACAGATCAAGGTCTCCCTACGGGAGGGCGAGGGGAGACAAACCTTCAGGAATGCAAGAAATGAAAACACATCCCCATGCAACTTGTACGGGACTGTCCGAAGCAGTATTAGTCATAGAAGCAAATGGGCACTTGTCAACTGTGGAGGCACGCCTGCGTTGTGGCCACCGTTGCTGGGTGTTCAGCACAGCCACATGGTGGGCTATTTGGAGGGGCCAAGGGTCCCGACATATACCCGAGTATGACTAGACCCTGAAAACCTGGAATTAAAGGAATCTGTCACCCAAAAAACCCACAGAAGACTGCATGCTGTATGATCACACTTTAATTGAAATGAAAGGCAAGTCCAGAGGCAGGCAGGTTCGTGGGGGCTGATGGGAAGAGGGCCTGGTGATGGATAGGCTTTGCCAGTGTGGTGATGGTGACGCAACTCGGAACTGGCTCTCCTTACTCCTTCATGGAGGAGGCGTGGTGGCACGGAGCTAAGTGCTCAGCTGCCACTCAGAGGGTTGGCGGATCAAGCCCACAGGCTGCTCCGTGGGCAAAGAGATGTGGTGGCCCGATTCCATCAAGAATCAAAAGTTCCCAACTTGGAAACCTGTGGGGGCAGCCCGACTCTGTCCCACGGGGTTACTGTGGTCAGAATGGATTTGAAGGCTAGGGGGTTGGCAGAGAGTTTATCCTCTCAGGTGGACACTAACAAGAAGCGGAAAGCAATTGCCAATCAGGCTGTTGTGAATCAGTACAAAATCAGTACTGTATACAATCGATGTAATTCCAGAGAAAGAAACACCAAGGTGGAATAGACATGAAGCCGTGACCACGCTCCAGTTCTTTTAAGATACTGGTGAATGTGCTTTTCACACAATGAATTTATAAAAATTAAAATGTCTGGTGGACCGTTTCTTTTTCTTCCTGTGCAATCAGCCATGATTTTAGATATATGTACATCCACGATTTAATAGGCCATGAGGTGATAAGTAAACATCAATTTCCAAAGATTTTTTTAATTGACCAAACAAAAGCATGTTTGTTAGAAACATTCTCTCTAGTCATTTCCACAGAATAATCCAACCTAAGTATCCAAAGGAAATCTAAGTTTCTTTTAAATGACTGCTCAGTGACTCTTCGTTTACCTAGGGGAAACCATTGCAAGTTATTAAGCGATTAGAAATCATCCTGCAGGTATTTGCGACAGAAACGGCATCATCCTTGTCTGGACAGCGGCACAGGAAGCCCAGGAGCAGCTCCATCCCGAGCTGGCGCAGCCGGGGCCTCACAGGTTAGCCTTCTCCCTGGCGGCCAGGTGAGAGCCGTGCTGCACAAAGGTATGGATGGAGTTCTGTTTCAAAAGAGTGAGACCGGCGGGTTAGTGACCTCAAGCAGCAGCCTCTTGGCGTTTACCTGAGCTAAAAGTCTGTGTTCAACCCAGTCTCATTTGGGAGGCATGCATCTCTAGCTGCATAATGTGGTCCAGAGCGAAAAGCAAGGGTGTGTCTTACTTATCTCACATGTGTGACTGACTGCGTCAAAAAATCCCAAAGCTACGGATAAAGGGCCTTGAAGGCAGGACGGCTGAAAGGAGTCAGCCTCGTCTGCCCTGCCCTGCCCTGCCCTGCCCAGGGTCCACAGGACTGCCCAGCTTGCAGCTCGGGGCTCACCTTCGACTTCTCAGCATTGTATTTGTCCAGGAGCGACTGGATGCGGGCCCCATAGTCAGGGTGGACATCGTTGAAGTTCTTGACCTGAAACCAAATAAAAATGTAAATGTTGCCCCAAATCTCTCCTATGCCACTCCCCAAAGTCAGCTTCCCTGCGGACAGTCCTTCCCCAGGGGAGGAAGGAAATTTCTGCAGGACGTGGTGGGCGCAGAGTGTGCCAACATGGGCCCGGCAATAAGACCAGGGAAAACTCTGGCCTCCACTGGTTGAGTGTCCTTGGCTCTGGAAGTCAGTGAGTGATAGAACAGAGGCCTCAGAACACAGGGTGAGGCCAATGTGGGTGGGGATAGCTCCCTGTAGAGCAGTAGGGGGCCAACCTCTGAGAATATGCTCAACAAGTTAGAAGACATGGGCCCAGACACTGCCTGAATAGACTGTGGTCAGCAGCATCTGCTGGGCGGCATCCCTCTGTCAAGCAGGAGCTCCGCTGGGCAGGGTTCGAGAGCAAGCCCACAGCAGGAGGAAGTGAGTGGCTCGGACCCAGAGGCCAGCGTTTGAGAAGACAGCCACACTGGGGTTTGAGCCTCAGTGTTCTGCTACTTCCACGTTGTCCTGCTCGGCCAGCTCTCAACGAGGGACACAGGGAAAGGGGGCCCATGGAGGAGAGAGTGTTAAGGGGGCCAGGATCAGCTAAGCACCACCTGTCTGCCATAGTCGGCTTGGGGTTGCTAGAGTGGTGAGCAGGCTTCAGTAGAGCTTCCGTGCTAAGATGGACGAGGAAGGAAGGGGAGATGAGAACCCCGTGGGTCATGGTATCCAGTCCGGGCCGTAGTGCGGATGACTCAGAGACGGGCAGCATGTGATTCCCATGGCTGTCATGGCTTGGGAGATGGCAGCTAATGAGAACAATCCCTATCTCACAGGGCAATTTCCCGGCTCTCTGCTCAGCTGGATAGCAGTAGGTCAATAGTGCCAACTGAGATTTAATTATTACACACACACACGCACACACAGACAAAGACCTCAATCTCTGCCTACGGAGAGACCATCCAGCCTGCCAGTGCTATTTGTCCCCAGGCCCTTGGGCACATCTCTGATGGCCACTAACCCCACAGAGAAGCAGCCAGCAAGGGGCAGGAACAGCAGGCTTTCCCGAGCTTATCTGGGGCCTCCTCCCCAAAGGTCAGAAGCAAAAAGGCTTCCCAAGGCTGTGGCTCAAACCTCAGAAACATCCTGGCGCCTCAGCTCAGAGTTCAGCTTGACTTTTGGAGGCTGCAGCGCAGTTCTTGTCCAAAACCTGCAAGTTCCTTGTTTGATTCTGCAGCAGGGTCGGGCGCTGGGCCCTCAAGCCGCCAGGTGGGTTTCAAACAGTAGACAGGGTAGCCAGTCATCCTGGTCCTCTAAAGGTTAAGCTGCACTGTGGTGGGACTCACCTGCCACGGCTGGCCGGTTACTAACTCTGCCCAGGGATTTATTTAGCTGTGGCCCATGAACCCCACAGGAGGGAGCGAAGTCACTCTGAAGGCAAGGATACTCTTACACATTGAACCAAGAGCTGAGGATGGGTGGATCTGCCATGTGGTAGAAAGTGTGGGGAGGAAAGAGCCAGGCTGGCGCCCAGTACCAGTATCTTTAAGTTCTCTCAGCCAGTTGACGGTGATTCATGGCGCCCCTTGTGTTTCAGAGCGGAACTGCACTTCAGAGGGTTTTTGGTGATTTTTTGGAAGCAGATGCTCGCACCTTCTTCCAACGTCTCTGCGTGAACTCACACTGCCAAGCGCTGTAACCCTTTGCCTAACCCAGGGGCTCACAAGTAAAACAGACGTGTCACTTCCCTTTGGTGGGTTTGCCCACACATCTGCACTACCGCCTCCTGCCAGCAGGTGGCACGCCTGGGCTCACAAAGACTCACCGCTTTCTTCTGGATGAAGAGCTGCGCGTCTTTCAGGTGGCCGGCGATGTTCTCACACAGGCGCTTCCTCTGCTCCTCGCTCAGCACCTTTGTGTAGAACTCGCGCACCTGCTCGGGAGGGCAGAGACCCGAGGTCAGGTAACCACCGCCAAAGCTCGCCCCATGTGCCGAATTCTCAGTGTAAAACAACTTTGCAGTAAGAAACTTTAGAGTTCCCCATAACTGTTTTAAACCAAACAGAAGGAACCCAGTCATTGATAACAGCTAACAGCTGCTTTTAAAGAGTGTCCTTTCTGGTCACTGCTTAGAAATGCCCTGGTGGCGCTGTGGGTTAGACGGTGAGGTTTCAAACCCACCAGCTGCTCCGAGAAGGGAAAAGGAGGCTGCCTGCTCCTAACGATGTGCCATTTCGGAGTCCCTAGAGGGGGCTGCTGCGAGCTGGGATCCACTCTGTGGTGGTGGAGACCTGGGTTTGGTGATCAATTCCTGACAGCAAAGGTAGTGTGAAAGCCGCTGCCATGGGGCCAACTCCGACTCACAACAGACAGCCCTCATGAGAACTGGGCTGTGATCAGTTTCTATGTGGGTCACTAGGCCTTTCTCCCGAGGCCCCACCAGGTGGCAGTATAACCTACGATTCAAGTCCCCCTCCCTGTTTCTCACCACTGGGCCAGGAGCCCAGGTCCCAGCACCCAACCCTGTGGATGCCTACAAGCCGCTCCCTCTCCCAGCCATGGGGTCAATGCTGACTGCTGGAGCCCCTGTGGGTCCCCGAGACTGTATGGGTTTCCAGTCTTTCCTCTGGAGCTGCTGATGGTTTCTACGGCCCACCCCATGGAGGGCAGCCAACACCTACAAGCCGAATACAACGTCAATCCAGCTGGTTACCACCACAAGGCCAACGCCTTCCAAGATAGGCCTCCTCCTTCTTTTCAAGTACACCGAGACTGGACTTTCCTGGGCTTTCCCTCAGCTAGGTTCCTAGAGCGAGTGTGTAAACACCTAGACTCTCTCTGTGTGTTAGAGATAGAAGGGTGAGGCTGTGAACCCCCACCACCAGCATCACGGCTGCAAAGACAGGAGCTCCGTGTGAAGCTCACTACCACTCAGCCCACCCCCACCCTCACCGCGGCCCTCCCGGACAGCACTGCACCTGTGCATCTCCACGGCTGAGTGTTTTTACACAGGAGAAAGCCTCATCTTTTCCCAGAGGAACACCTGGTGGTTCCAACCGTCCACCTGGTAGTTAGCAGCCCAATGCAGACCTCACTATGCCCCACGGCTCCTGAAAATCTCTCGACTGTGGTACATTAGACTGTATCAGCAAGAGCCTGGTGATTCAACTGCATTTGTGCAGGATGGCAAGCGTCGGCTGAACACGGCCCAGAGCAGGGACGGAGGCAGAGCTCGCTGGCTGGTACCTGAGTGACGTTGTCTTCGTCGGCACTGTTGAAGCGCTCCACGTCCCCAGAACACCGCACCGTGTGCTGCAGGGCCGAGTGCTGCTGCTCGGGGGCGCTGAAGCTGTTGGGGTAGTAATTTGGGGCACCGCCTGCAAGAGAACAGCGCAGATCCCCTCAACCCCCGAAAACCAAGCCCACTGCCATCCCGTGAATGCCGACTCACAGCAACCTAGATCGTGCACATGGACTGAAAAGATGGTCCTTCAATCTTTGAGGGACCAGACCACCTCAGCTTTCTCCCACGGAGCGGCTGGTGAGTTTGAACCTCCTATCATGAAGTTAGCAGCCTAATGTCTAGCCCACAGATCCCCAGGGCTCCTTAGAGATGCACTTGGGGAGATACAGAAGTCAGTCCACAATTACTCAATGCCGCAAGAAATAAATACCAGGCGCAATCGTCCACACATTAATCATACATGCCACATGTAGGTATACAAACCTAAACGACAGGCATTGCCATCGAGTTAAATCCGACTCATGGGGACCCTACAGGGCGGTGGGTCTCCTGTAACCCACCAGAACGGTTCTCTGTAGCTCTTTGCGGGAGTGGTCTGTCCCACTCCCAGAACCCTCTGCACTCCAGTGAAGCCCGGCCCGGCCTGGCGCCACCCCCACACCTGTCCCTGTGCTTGAGGCCATGGCTGCACCACTGTGTCCGTCCGTCTTGTCTTGTCGAGGGCCTGCCTCTTTGTCACTGGCCTTCCCTTTGCCAAGCCTGGCAGCCTTCTCCAGGGGCTGGTGTCCCTGAAGTAGGTAGGCACAGTCTTGCCATTTTCACTTCTAGGAGCCTTCTGCCTGCACGTCTTCCAAAATCGATTTCTTTGTTCTTTTGGCAGTCCCTGGTACTTTCAATAGTCTGCCAGCATCGTAATGAAAACCCATCGTCCCTCTTCAGTCTTCCTTACTCAACGTTCCATGCACACGAGTGCTCAAAGAACCTCTTCGCTTTCAACACTTGAAAAAGAACTTGCGCCTCTTGGTCCATGTACAGATTCCCATGGAGCACAATGAAGTGACCTGGAATTCCCATTCTTCTCAAGGCTATCCATAGTTTGTTAGGATCCACACAGTCAAATGCCTTTGCATAGTCAATGAAACGCAAGTAAACATCTTTCTGGTAGTCTCTGCTTTGAGCCCAGGGCTGTCTGACCTCAGCAATGACATCCCTGGGTCCATGTCCTCTTCTGAATCCCTGGCAGTGTACTGCTGCAATCTTTGTTGCAGAAAGCCTTACATTTCTCCCTTGGAGCTGCTTGTGATTTCGAACTGCTGACCTTGAGGTTAGCAGCCCAGTGCGTAACCCACCACATCCCCAAGGGCTCCTGCAGGTATCTTTAAGTATCTATAGCTACACACAGGACAGCACACGGCCAGGCAGTGATTCGTTCTGTTGTACACAGGGTCACTATAGGTCAGAACCAAATCGGCAGAACCTAAAAAGAACAGCCTAAATCCACACACACGCACACACCATGGAAAAATCCCATTAGTTTTCAATGCCATTTTCCCATGAATTTCTTGAAATTCCCTTGGGCGTGCACACACACACACACACACACACACACACACACACACACACAGTAGGTAAGTCAAAAAGTACCGCTACTTGGGTGCCACAGGTGTGTTCCAGACAAAATCTATTTAAAAGCCTCTGAAATTAGTGGGTGGCTGACCCCGAGTCCTCTCATTAACACAGGACCTCGCCTCAGTGCAATACCTTCCCCCCAAAAGGTCCTGTTCAAACAGTGGCTCCCAATGAGATCTGTGAGGAGGCCAGCCTCGCTCAAGGCCGCGAGGTCAGCTCTGGTGACAGTGGAGGCACAGGGTGAGCACAAAGGGGTATTAAGAAGACGCTTTAAGAAAAGGGGCAACCGCACGGTCAGACGATGGATGCCCAGGAGCGCAGCTCTGAGGAATCCGTGTCCATCCCAACAATACCTGCTGTGCGTTGACAGGGCTGTCCTCTCAGCATTTCCCCAGAAAAACCTCACCTCGTCCACTTGAGACCGGCCTCGTCTTGCCCTTTCAGACTTGTTTTTGTTCCCAAACTCAAAGCTGATTTTACAGGAACATGATTTGAGTTCCTTGAGGGTGCTGCCCAAATTGCCATTTTGAAGTGGTGTATGTGGAAGTGAGCAGGATGGCTCAGGAAATGCTGCCGGGACAAGTAGATAGACCCGATGGGGGGGCTCGAGAATGACACGTGGGAGACCCGATGGGGGGGTGTCGAGAATGACACATGGGTAGACCTGATGGGGGGTCTCGAGAATGACACGTGGGTAGACCCTATGGGGAGAGCCCGAGAAACAATAGCATCTCGCGTGGGTAATTTTGTTTAATGAAGGTTCCTAGGATTTTGTCGCCACGCCTCTTGATTGAGCCACCACGAGGCAGAATCCACTGAACAGAACCAACCGCAGCCACAACCAGCACTTAGAAATGTAGGAGGATGCTTCCAAATCTGGGGCTGCCAGCACGTCGACTCACCGATCTAACAAGCCAGCGTCAGGTACAATCAAAGCTCTCACGAGGACTTCTGGAACAATGGCAACGCTTTTATTTTGGCATATCCATTTTCCCAACTACGGTTTGCTCAGGCAAGTCTGCGCACACACTGCCCAAGCAGAGGGAGCGGCCTACAAGCATATTAAGTGGTGTGAGTAGGCCTGGCCAGAGGCGCACGTGTCCCACACTCACCTAAAAGCACTAGGGATGTGCAGGGGAAGGGAGGACACCATGCTTTTAGGGAGCCTAGTTATTCACGTCGTTCTAGGTCAGGCACACCCACACAGACATCAAGATGCTCCACGAACCCTGCCTCCGCAGTGCTGTCAGCGGGAAGAATCACTCAGAAATGCGCCTGCTGTAGCTCATTACACAATGCTGTTCCCAGTCAGCTCGGGCTTGACTCAAACTCAGGGTTTTCCACCATTCACAAAAACCCATTCAACCTGGACCAGGGACCGACACGTATAAATTGAAACCAAAACTTGGTCAAAATTCAAGCCAGGGCAATGCTGTCAGGCCTAGCTTTCAACAAAGGATAAGCCAATATAATTACAAAGTTACAAACCACAACAGACAAAATAAATAGGACCCCATGAAAATTGAAAGCTTTTGCTCATCAAAAGATTTTTACCAAGCAGTGATGAACGTATGAAGCACATCGCTGCATGGGAAGAGTTGGAGGAAATCATGCTAAGTGAAGTAAGTCAGGCACAAAAGGACAAGTACAACATGAGTCCACTGAGGTAAGCGA